AGTATTTTTAGAGATCTGTAACTAGTAAAAGCTCATGGTATGTCTTATTGGGACTTGGCCCATATTTACTTGGAAGGGTGGTGTGGTTTGGTTTTCATCTGGCTTTGGCCATTCAAAACACTTTTCTCCTCCTTGTAAATCTCAGCCAAGGTGTGCTAGACATATCACATGCACCTTGCCTTGTCACACCTTAGACACTTGTATCACATTCCACTCTCTTAGTGAGTCTTCTAGATCTAATGTCTTTTCCTTGTGATGGAGGACCATCCATAGAGATCTCACACATGAAGACCATTGAACCTTTAACTAGGTCCGTGGTTAGGAGGTTGGAGGAGGCTTCTATAGAGGAGGTGTTTCTTATACCTATGCTCTATATGAACATTGAGTATGATTCCTCTTATTAGTTCCTTAGTCTTTATTGTACATACCTTGTATAGTACTTTGTATATAGTAGATACTTGTATAGGTGTATTTTGCCTTTGTATTTGTAAGACACCTTTATCTTTCTTTATAGGTCATAGCCTTAGAATTTTAGGGTATGTTACTTGAATACTTTTACTCTATTTGACCTTGTATTAAGGGTAATAGATTTTCATTTTTGAGTATTAGTAATGGAGTAGCAAATAGCAAGTGTGTAGGTGAAGCTAGTAATTGGGCCTTTAGTGGGCTTAGGCCAAATTTTACATATTAGGCTTATTTTTCTTCATTTAATCCAAGGAATTGATTTATACAAGTCTCGCCATCATTTGGTGAACCTAACTAAACTAATTTTAAGATTTTTGGATTGGATTAGATGAAGGAAATCAAGTTAGGTCGTTTATCCTTCTCATTTGGCCAAAATTGTAAAGCTTCTCCAACACACTTGCCACTTGGCTTGCCAAGGGGACAGTGTGCCACTTGGCACCCTATAATTAGCTCTTCTAGATCTAAGTGTCCCCTCCTTGTCTCCTAGGAGACAAGGTGATACTTGGCATTCTATGATTGGCTAATCTAAATCTAAGTTTTTCTACCTTGTATCTACCTTGTCCTTGCTTCACAAGCTTCTCCACCACTATATATAGGTTGTTTCACTTGTAAAACTCATTTTTGATCATTATATGAGACTTGGCTGAGTATTCTCTTTGAATTCTCTCTCTTAAAAATCCTAATTTCTCTTTGATGTGTTTCCAATTCTATTATCCTTTTTTTAAGAGTGTAGTGAGAATTGAAGTGATTTATCTTCTACCTAGAAATGACACCACTTGAAGAGAGTTATTCATCTTCCAAGGTGAAACCAGAGGTCTCTACCTCCATTAGATACCTTGAAGAAGCTTTAGGAGTGTCAAGAAGCCAAAGATCTAGGGAGGAACTTGAAGTAGAAGCCACATCAATTTAGTTGCTCCATTAGGTTTCCCTTGTCTCCTTGCTACCTTGGCTTGTCCACTTGGCATTATTTTATTTGAGTTTGGATCTAGATGTTGACACATGAGGGAACCATTAGGCATGAGTTTTGGAGTGTGAAGGAGAAGTTTCTTTAAGTATACACTAATCTAACCGAGGTTAAGTTAGCTTGCACTCCAAGACTCTTAAGCCTACAAATTTATTTTTCCTTATTGTATTCACACTTTTTCTTAATGGGATTAGATTTCTCTCTACAAAAGTCTTAGTTCTCTAGATGGAGAAACTTCTCCTTAAGTTCTTTCACCAAGGATTCCTCTTTGTGATAAGAACTCTCATTTGCTCATCTTCAAGCTTTGGAGTGGCACATCCATTCTCTTGTATTTACCATTTTGTTTGGTCTGAGTTTGAATCTTGAATCCATGGAAAAGATTGGGAGCTTTGAAGGTTACTAGAGGAGGCAAAACATCAAGCATCTTCTTCACTAATTTCCATCACAAAGAATACTTAGAGTTGAGACAAAAGTGGCTTGTTGAAATAATACTTGTATCTTTGTTTAAAGATAGTGGAACTTAATCTAGATGGATTAAGAATTAGACGTAGTTCCAATGATTGAGATTAACTAGTATAAAAATACCCAATATTCCATTTGACTACTCTTTGCACTCCATCTGACTAGAGTTACTACTTCACTACGAAAAATGTGTGACTTTTTGATACATAGTATTCGACCCCCTTTTAATGTTTATCTTTTCTCCATAGTTTGGTATCAGAGCCAAGGTCATGTATTTAATTACTAGCGAGAGCAATTTTTAAGGGAAGATTATTTGTTGGTGACATTAATTGTCCAGTGGCAAAGGCCTAAGTGTATCAAGTCATAGTCAAGACATGTGGCACTTGGGCTACTACAGTTAAATAGAAAGAGTTGCACCTTAATTATCAGCTACAACTTTAGAGATTATGTGAATATACAAGGTGAATGGGATTTGGGCCGTATCCAGAGTTATCTTCCTGATGAGATCGTCAACCTTATTAGAAGATTGGATCCTGCTTGTATAGCTACGGTAACGATCGTGCTTGTTGGAACCTTACTAATGACGGTCTCTTCATGATTAAATCAGCATATGAGATAATTGGTTCGATGCAAGCCCCTACTTCTCATCCTATTTTCAAAGTAATTTGGCATTGGAAAGGTCCTGAGCGAATTCGAACTCTTCTATGAAAAATAGCCCATAATAGTCTGCTAACAAATGAGGTTAGAATGAAGTTGGGATTGAATAATAGCTCCTCTTGTGACATTTGCACCACAGGCATTGAGAACACACTACATGTTTTACGGGATTGCCCGTTTGCTGGAGCAGTATGGAAGCAGCTGCTTGGGCAACGTGAGGACGTCCAATTCTTCACTGCAAATCTTTTTGCTTGGTTATTACGTAATTTATTGAAATCTGGGTCCATGTGGGAAGACTGGAATACCTTGTTTGCAGTAGCCCTTGATAACCTCTGTGGCATAGAAGAAATCAATTCCTATTTCAGAATGCTAACTCCTCTGTTAATCAGGTGGTAGCGGTAATCAAGGCTCGTGTAGTTTCGTTAGCTGCTACTTGTTCTTCTTTAGACATCCTAGAGTCTCCTTTGCATTTTACAATTGCGCAGCAATGGAGTTGCCCTCCCAAGGGCTCAGTTAAAATTAATTGTGACGGCTCAATCTCTAGATCAGGGGCTGCCTCTTGTGGAGGGGTCATTCGAGACGCGAACGACAACTTCGTGGTAGCATACTCGTGTCAATTGGGTAGATGTTCCATAATCCAATCTGAACTCTGGGCCATTTGGCATGGCCTTCGACTCCTTCAGTATAAAGGTATTAACAGAAGAGCTTTGCTGGAAACAAATTCTTCTACGGCAATAAAGCTAATACTTGAGGGGTGTCCTACAGCTCACCCATGCTACAACTTGGTACAACAGATTATCTCCCTCCTAGGTCATGAGATGTCCATTTCAATCTCTCACATTTTCAGAGAAGCAAATTTGACGGCTGATTGCTTAGCTAGATATAAAGGACCCATGGATGAAGACTTTCTTCTTTTTAATTCCCCTCCTGATTTCCTTCTTAGTTATTTAGAAGCAGACAAACCTGTCAACTCATCCTTGAGTTGTTTGTAATTGGGCTTTAAGCCCCTTTATTTACCAAAAAAAAAACAAATGATTTTTTATTGAATAACAATGAAAATTATCTTCACTACACTAAAATTAGTTTTTTTTATGAAAATTAATTTATTATTTAGCGACTATATAAATGATCATTATTTTTTTATCATTATTTAAATAATGACTCGTGTATCTAGGATGGTTAATATTATCATTGGCATTTATATAAAAGTTAATCACATATACACTGTCAATGTAAAATTTTTTTACACTGACAACCAATTATATCCTTTAATTGTACCATGTCACTGTCAAAAGTAAATGTGTTTATAGTGACATGGCACAATTAAAGAATATAATTGGTTGCTAGTGTAAAAAAAACTTTACACTGACAGTGTATAGGTGATTAACTCTTTATATAAAATGCTGATAAAGATCTATTAAATTATCGGAAAAACTTATTTTTTTTAATGGCAATTCTAGTAGTCATTTTAAAGGCTATTAAAAGTTATTTTTTCAATTGTCTCCTTTACTTTAAATAATTTATACCTATAATTTTCTTTTCTAAATTCATAACTTATATACTTTTTTATCTCTACTCGATGTGAGATTTGTAAAATGAGGGTTGTCTTCTATTTATATATTTTTTAATTTATTTTTTTAATTGTTTTGTCTCTTAAGATATGTGAGATTTATAAGGTAAAAGTTGCTCTCTAATTGTTTTATAACACTATTGAATTTGGTAATAATGGGTGATTTGATACCAATTTAGAATAGTGAATTAGGAATCTAATTCAACCCTATAAAATGAACCTATAAGGTGATAGTTATTACTCACTTATATACTATTTAATTATCTTATCTCTAATTAATGTGGGATTTAAGTTTTTTCTAATAAATAATTATCGTTAATAGTAAAATTTAGTGTAATATAAATACATTTTTAGTAGCTATTATATATTAGCCATTAAAATTTTTATATATAGCGACAATTAAATTATTGTCATTAAATAATTTTCTTTAATAACAAATTTTGTTATAGTGCTTACACCATTAGTGCATATATAATTTATTTTCTCTTAATACATAAAATAGGCTTTTATTTTGTTAGTGAAAATAATAAAATAGATAATGATACACACAATATTTTTTTACAACATATTTATAATTTATTTTACCTTTTTTGCCACTCATTTTATGCGACAGATCTCTCTTTTATCTTTCTCTTAAATCCTAAACTTTTTAATTACAAATTTAGATATAAATATTCTAATTAAATACCTAAGTAAATAAAGTTTTCACTTCGAATCTCATTGATGAAAAATAAACGTAATTAAAAAGAAAAGAAAAACTCTACCAAAAATATAATCAGCTTACAAAATTAGTAAATACTTCCTATAATAACATTATTTAAAAGAAATCTTTCTTCAAATAACTAAGAACACGTTAGGAGTGGACGAATTGAATGGTCCAAGAATATTTTGAAGACTTTATGAAGGGATCCATTTTTTGGACCCGGGGTAACCGAAATACACCCAAAACCAATCAAGAAACAAAATCCATTACACTACCTTGCATGCATTTTGCAAGAGAGCATGAAATGTACAATGAATGTAACAACAACATTGGTTTATTATTTCTCAGACTTTTCAGACGCTGAAAGATTCCTTGGAATCCAAGGCATCAGGGTCATGGGAACGGATCTCACCACCTTCTCTGACATCACCACCACCATAACCAGAGTCACTCACATTTCCAAAAAGCAGAACCACAATCCCAACAAGTGCACTGCAAAACGCAGCACCAAAGGAGGTCCTCACGCGCCCTGGCACCACTGCACCTACTGTGAACCCCCCACAAAGGCCAACACTTCTCACCCAACTATACCAAACAGAAAACCCACTTTCTTCACCGCATGGAGCACTCTCCATTGTCTCCAACACCAAAACCCTTCCAAAAGTGTACAACAACCCACTCGCTGTGCCTTGAATGGCCCCAAACACCATCAAGTGCGGCCACTTCCAGTGCCTGTTGGAGAAGTAGAACCCAAACCCTGAACTCAGAAGTGACAATAGCAACCCCATTATCTTCATTTTCACAGCACTGGTTTTGATCAGGTGCTGCAGTGGGTGGAGCAGTGGCAGGGAAAGCATAGGGAAGAGAAAATAGGTTAACCAGAAATAAAGCAAGTGCACTGGCTTAATGCAGAGTTGGCCCACTATGTAAAGAACCCCACCAGTGAAAATGCTCATCGTGGCGAATTGCGAGAGGAGAACAGCAACCAACGCTCCAATCGCATGTGGGTATTTGAAAATGGAGAAAAGTTGGAACCTTGATGAGAGAGGAATAATAGGGTTAGAACTGTTTCGGTTTTCAGCTGTGAATGCATGCAACACCCCCACTAGCCAAACCAAGCCACAGAAGATGGACACAATCCAGAGGCTGATATACTCGCGTTCATTGGGCTCTCTAAGCATGTGGTAAGTGAAAGATAAGACAATGGCTGCACCCAAAGAGCCAGCAACAGTGGCATAAAGAGAGAACCTATGACTAGAAACGCCTTGTGTGGTGGAGAATTTCTTTAGGGCACGGACCATGAGGGCTAAGTGGTGGGTGTGGGAAGCAGTAGTGACGGTGGCGGCGACGACGATGGCGGCGATGTAGGGAATGAAGATCTTGGAGGTTTTGAAGAGGCCTGATGGGAGGCAGAAGAAGACTCCAAGACCTGTGGCTGCTGCTGTGATGAGGTTTTGGAAGTTGGTGTTGAAGTGGAAGGAAATGTAGGCAAGAATTGGAGCGGCTAGGGCTAGACCTCCACCCCATGCAATTGAGGTCCACTCCAATGAGGAGAAGCTTGAACCACTGATTGATATGGTGTGCTGTGTGAGGGTGCTGTACCTGTTATTGATCCATCCATTTGCACATGCATGTTAACATTGTTACACTTTTAATGGAAGAAGAAAAACTTCATGCAATTCTTTGTGTCTTTTGTATCATTGTTAATTAAAATTAGGGTTTCACTTCTATAATAGTAAAAAAAATATTTATGTTTTAAATATGGTATTATATGTTAAAATGTTGTATACACTTAAGATTTATTTCATAAAAAAAAAATACAATATAGTTGTATTGATAAAATTAATTTTTACAAAAACATTGGCTTAAATTGTCATTTTAGTAAAATTTAACTGTTAATATCGTTTGGTATAATGTATACCCACCCATGCACACAGATGCATGTGATGAAATGCAATATATATCAAATTGTCAATTAAAGACTACCATATGTAATTTATCAATAAACCAAACAGAGTTCATGGGCAATTAAAAGACGAGGGCTTCATATATGTTTGCAAATATTCAATGCATTTAAAGTGATTTATTTAGATTTTATGTTAAGAACATATAATCAATAAGATTATTTTAGAAAATTGACTATTTTTTTTTCAAGTGGATATTATATATTTTAGAAATTAAAAGAGAAAACTAACTTTGGGTCGAGACTCCAGACAAAATTCTTACACTATAAAAGAAGATACCATAGTTATTTTTTTTTCTTTTGGCCAAGCATATGTAACAGATAATTTACACATTTTTTTCTTATGTCAGTAAAATACCTTGTTTTAAATATTAACAAGTGTTTTTAAGTACACTGTTGACTAAGAAAATAAAAGTAATTTATGACCATTAATTATTATGTCAAACAATACACAGTTTATTTGATGTTTATGTTTATAATGATTAAAACTAGTTTATAAAATATATTTAGTACTCCTTACTCATAGCATTTGTCCTGGGTAACAGTCCTTCTTTCTTGCTCTCCGAATGATTAATACCCAAAATACAGTTGATATGAAGTGTGTGACCTAAGCAAAGTGGAATCCTAACTGTTGTTGAGTAGAAGAAACAATGAAGTGTAGAAGCAGACAGCATCCACCACAACCAACAAACAGTTTTACATGATTATACTGTTGACTATGATGAAAGTCCGTGCTTTGTGTTTATCACACGCTGTCCATTTTTAAAGAAACAAAATCCTTTTCTACCAACTTTTAAATTCATGGTATTCCATCCATTTTCAAAAAATTTGAAAAACTGGTAAAAAAAAAAAAGAAAAAGTAAATAAAGAGATAATTTTAAGGACAAAATTGTTAATGTGCACACCAAATGTAAACATAGATATATGAATAACATAGACTAGACAAAGGAAGAAGTGACTAGACATATGAATAAACTTATCACATATGACATCATGACTAGACAACGTACCTGATTATGTGTCAAACTAAAAATTTGAAAATACATTTAAATTAAAATTTTGTTTAATTAAAAAAAAGTTGTAAAAATTTAAAGCATGTGTGTACTTACAAGTTAATTTGCTTTTGTGCACAGGTTATGCCTGAATGGTTCAAGAACCAGCTGTCATAAACAGGGTCCATTGGGAGGTGCTGTAACTGACTAATCATGAGAGGAAAAACCACAGGAATGAGAACAGTTTGAACAAAGTAAGAGCAAAACTCATACAGATACCACCCCCAAACCTCAAAACTAGATGGCTTATCTCCTATGTCTTCATGCTCATAGCTATAAGTCTCTTCACCTTTGGATTTTGTCATGGACCTGGTTAACACAATGCTGTTTCCATTTTGGGGTGCAGGAACCGATGCTGCTCCTTGGTCACCTCCACCTTCAGCACTCACTTCCTTCATTGTTGACACAAACGCGGTTTGAGGAAAGAATAACAAAGGGGCGTGGAGAAGAGGGAAATGGAGGAGGGTGTTTTAAGAATGGTCACATAGGAATTGTTGGCTGAACACAGCTGGTTAACGAAACTTTCGAGGGTGCAGAAAGCAAATAGTTATCGAGGCTTTCGAGGGTGGAAACACAGCTTGTTGTTAAGAGATGGTAATATATACTGGAATATTCTTCTGACTTTTGTTTTTTTCTTGGTTATGGATTTATACAAAGAAGTTCTACTGTTGAGCCAGAAGGCGATGGCCGACTCTTGATGCTCTCAATCGAGTTGGAAGCTTAGTTGCGTGGAATTTTCGTCACATCACAGTTTAAACAATTAGTTACATACTGAAATTTTCTTGTATCTCACATACAACCGACAATTAGTTTAGGCGGAAGGATCTTTTCTCACTTTGATCTTATCTTAATAAAAAAAATAATTATATAAATATTTTACCCACATAAAATAAAGATGAAAATAGACAAGTTTTAACTAAGTTTATGATTTGACATCTTTAAATTTTGATTTGATTTAACATATTTAATAAAAAGATTAAATTTAAATTTTTAAAAAAATTTATTCATTTAAAAGACTAGACTTATAATTATAAAAAAAAGTATATTAGGTCCAATAAGTTAGTCTAGTTATTTGTATAATATAATATAAAAAAATTAATATATATATATATATTATTAACGATATAAATAGATAAATAAATTTATAAAATAAAAAAATTATCAATATTTTTTATCATTTCACTTAAATATTTTACGTACCTTATTCATACAAAATCAAGAAATCACAATTAAAAACTCTAGCAATTGCATCTATTGTACATTATTATACATAAACTTACGTCATGTACTTTTGAGATCACCTTATGTACAATGGATATATTTTTAGTTTGTTACCATAACTATTTTAATTTGTTAAAATAAGAGTAAATTATGTAGAATATATCAAATGTGATATGGGAAATATTTTAAAAATTTTTCTTTTTGGATAAGAATAAAATTACCCTTATTCATTACATACTTACAATACGTGAGTGGGTGTGCACGTATTGTCCTCTAACAAAAAATGATTTATTTATTTTCTCTCTTTGTCGCATATATATATATATATATATATATATATATATA